GCTTTCCTCTAATCAAGGGTACCAGGACTTTTTCTTTTTCTGGGTTGTCCAGTCCTGCCAATGAAGGCAAGCTTCCTCACCCTCTTTGGAGGTTCTGGAACCCTATAAACAAAGTAGCACGTTCTCCTCTTCTTCGTTCAGCTCTATTTCAACTTCCTGGAAGAACTCCATTCAAAGCCACACAATGAAACTCATTACCAATTTTTTTTTTTTTTTTGGTTTAAACAGATAAAATCCCTATGGAAGTTATGTAAAAATAGACATTGACATGAGCAGAAAAAAAAAATTACTACCACTATTTTCATGCTGTGTTAGTGTCAAGGGGAGAGAAAATGCAAACACAAGTTAGCTCTGCTGGAAAAGAAATGCATCATTGCTGCAGGTACTAGTCAGTCAAAACAAGAAAACTTTCTTTGAATCAAAACAAAATAAAAAAAATTATCAGTATTATGTCAAATAAAACTTAGTAAAAATCAGTTGTATCTCCAACAGTCTATTCAGTCCTTTGAAGGAAATTTGTTCCATCAAAAGTTCCACCAATAGGAATCTGTTGAGGTCTTTTTCCCTTATTTTCTCCTGAACAATTTCTGTAGATATCAAACTATTGAGGCATACAACATTGCAAGGCAACAATTACCATTGACAATTTATATACATATTAGATGCTGAGATGTTTTAGACACATTTTAGAAAACCACTGTTAACATTTCTGTACATGACAAAGTTTTACTGTTTTCCCAAGTGACAATGCTTCCCTTCCAGTTTTACTTTACTAGGTAAACCAAATAGGACAAATTCATCTAATGACTTTCCCAGGAGGAGGAAGAAATTTTGTGGAGTGTCTCAGGAGCTCTACTGAGGTTCCACAAAATTTCCTTCAATCAACCAAATGACAGCCACCAAATTTTACTTCAATTTAGATTTCTGGGAAGCTTTGCCATAAATATCAGAAAATGGCAGCAACAGAAATATTTAATCTCTATGAAGGCACCGGCTCAGTTCAGTAGTACAATGTTGACAATCAAAACATAATCTTTAGTTTCTTTTTTTTTGAATATCTATCGGCACATGTATACCAATTTGTCAACCTCTAGAGGCCAAGACAAGGGCACACAGACATATAACATATAGACACAGAGAGCTCTTTAGTTACCATTTATCATGCATGGGATATCTTATACAACTGCAGTTTCACTCAGAGGCCAAAATAACAAAAACAAGCAGGAAAAAAATCCTCAAAGTTAAAAAAAAAAGTTGAAAGGAAATACCAAAATCAAAATTGAAAGCCTTTCTGTGTAATAGAAATTTAAATTATTTTTAAAAAATACTGCCAGCATATGCATGATTCTAGATGTTATTTCACATCTCCTAAACTTTGAAAGGAAAGAGATTGGTTAGAGCTTGTCAGTCTTCTCAGGATTTTTTCAGAAAAGTGAATCCTTGGGCATCCTGCTACAATGGCTGGAAAAGAAGTCAGTAACATTTAACTTTTTGTGTTTTTCTTAAATAAATATCTCAGGTCCTCGATGGGTTCACAAGACCAATGGGATTTTGTTTCTGGGTCAGTTCCTTCTGGGGCTTTCTTAACTCTGGAATGATGTACCCAGGGTTTTATGCCTCCAAGTTTTAAAGACGTATGTGTGCTTAATAAAACGTCCATTTTTACAGACCAGTCCATTTTTCTGACAGCTGGTTTTGGGCATCCCCTCTCTGCCACGTCTTGAGTAAGACCTCATCTCCAGGTCTGAAGGGATGCAATGGTTGATCAGGAGGCATAGAGATCCTCGAGGTTGCAAAGTTATGAATTACTGCCAAAACCTCCTGGATGTGTTTCACATATTGTGTGATCCTGCAGTCTTGTTCTGTTTCTGGAGTGGCTTTCAGAACTGAGGCCTGGAAGGGTCTTCCAAACACAATTTCAAAGGGGCTTAATTGTAGCCCACTTCTAGGTGCCACTCTTATGCGGAGGAGGGCAAGGGAGAGTACCTGGTCCCAGCGCAGTTGTGTTTCTTGGCACAGTTTTGCCAAGGTTTTCTTTAAGGTGTGCTTCATTTTTTCAGTTTTTCCAGAAGACTGTGTCCTCCATGCAGCATGCAATTTCCAGTTGCTCTGTAACACACTGCTTACTGCATGAGTAACATCAGAGAAGAATGCTGGCCCATTTCACTCTGGATGGAGTTGGGCAACCCAAAGCGAGGGGCTATCTCCTCTAGCAACTGTTTTGTGACCTTGAAGCTTTTTCTGTCTTGGTGGGAAATGCTTCCATCCATCCTGAGAATGTGTCCATAAAAACCAGTAGGCATTTGAAATCGCCTGTTGTTCTAGGCATTTGCGTAAAGTCTACCTGCCAGTCCTCAAATGGGCACTTGCCCCAATATTGAACCCCAATGGCTTTAGGGTGGGAGTCAGTTAGTTTTGGGGTTATTTCTGGCACATATTTGACAACCTCGGGTGATCCGTTGTGCTGTTTTATGTAAATATGGACCCTTCAAATATGGGCGCACTGTTTCTAATAAGGCATCTCTCCCACAGTGGGAACCTTTGTGCAGATGTTTTAACACCGGATATACCAGGGCCTCCGGGAGGAATATCACCCTAGGAGGGTTTACTGTCTAAGTAGAGCTGGGATCAAACTAAGTAAATCCCCATGCACGAGCTCTCTCCTCATCCCGCTCAGAGTATTCAGGAGTATACTGAGTCAGGTCCACAAGAGGGATGAGTGTACCCTGGAGAGCAGAATTGGCAGCGGCCTTAGCCACCCGATCAGCTGCCCTGTTGCCCTTAGCCATGTCAGACCCACCCTTTTGTTGGCCAGGACAGTGTATCACGACAACAGCTGATGGTAAAGCTACTGCCTTTAACAAGGCCTGGATTTCTAATGGGTGTTTCACATCCATGTTACTGGAGTTAAGGAGTCCTCGTTCCTTCCAAATGGCCCTGTGCATGTGGAGAATCATGAAAGAGTACTTTGAGTCAGTAAATATATTGTGCTGATGTAACTGCCAGAAAAGCCTTGGCTTCTACGGTGATCTGGAGCATCACCATTGCATATCCTGCACATCGATGGCCTTGCTCCATGAAGCTGCTGCCATATGTAAATAGTTCCCACTCTGGATCTGGCAGAGGCTGGCCAGCCAGTCAGATCCTGTCAGCTGGCATATACTTAACAGTTATGGATTAAATTTTCATCCTCAGGTCCATCTACATTGCTTGGAAGCAGTGTGACAGGATTCAGGGAATAGGAAATCTGCAGTTTCGAATTAGAATTGTCCAACAGAGCTGCTTGATATTTCCCATTCTCCAGCCGCTAACCAAAGTCCACCCTTCTGCTCCAGCAATGTCAAGACCTGATGTGGCACACACACAGTAATGGGCTGACCCAATGTAAACTTCTCTGCCTCGTGTAGGAGGTCACAAGTGGCAGCCACAGCATGCAAACATGGAGGCCATCGCTTAGTGGTGTGGTCCAATTGTTTGGACAGATATGCAACGTCTTGGATTAGCACTCCTAGACCAACCCCCTGTCTCTCATGTACATAAAGTCTGAATGGCTTCCTAGGATCTGGAAACCCTAATGCTGGTGCTGAGATCAAATTTACTTTTATTTCATCAAAGCCTTTTTGACGTTCTGTAGTCCAAGACAAAGGTTCAGAGTCCAGGCCTTTGAGAGCATCATATAAGGGTTTTGCTATTGATTCAAAGTTAGGAATCCAAATCCTACAAAACCCAGCCATACCCCAAAATCTGCACAACTGTCGCTGGTTGCTGGGGACTCTAAGGGCTGAAATTACCTGTTTTCTTTCTCTTATCAGGCTCTGTCTGCCTTTCTTAATTTCAAACCCCCAATTGTCACCGTTTGTTTAAATGTCTGTGCCTTTTGAGGTAATACCTTGTAGGCATATTCTGCCAGGTGTTTCAGTACCACTGTGGTATTTTCCAGACAAGATTCATAGTCTGGACTTGCAGTCAACATATCATCTACATATTGTAATAAGATGCCTGGTTTAATTGAACCTTTCTGAGATCCTTGGCTAGTATTTCCCCCAAAATAGTTGGGAGTTCTTAAACCCCTGTGGAAGCACAGTCCAGCAATACTGGAGAGTGCTCTTGGATTTAGGGTCTTGCCATTCACAGGCAAAAAGCAGTTGATCTTGAACATCTATTGGGATACGGAAAAAGACATCCTTAAGGTCTAATACCGAAAACCACCCAAAGTCACCAGGTATGCCTGTTAATAAGGTGTAGGGATTGGGCACAATGGGATATATATCCTGGACAATGTCATTAATGGCCCTTAAATCTTGAACAAAGCGGTACTTGCCTGTGTGGGGTTTCTTCACTGGCAAAATCGGAGTGTTGTACGGTGAGTGGCAGGGCCGAATGAGTCCAGATTGAAGGAAACTTTTCAAAACTGGCTCAATCCCCCTCAAGGCCTCCTCCTCTAAGGAGTATTGCTTCCTCCTCAGGGTTTTGCTCCCCTCTATCACTTCTATCTTTACAGGCTCTGTATTTTTCGCATGTCCTGGGGTCCCATCAGCCCATACCCATTTACTTACTCTTTCAATGATTTCTGAAGATAAAACTTCACCTTTTGATGGAACATCTTGAGTAAGTAGCATCTGGAACTGCAGCACATGTTCTGGAGGTACCTGTAGGTGAAGCCTCTGATTTTGAGGTGGGAACATAATTCGTGCATTAAGCTTGCTTAAAAGGTCATGGCTAAGTAGAGGGATTGGACACTCTTCCATGTACTGGGACCTGTGCTAGAGCTGTGTGGTGCCCAGCCGGCACTCCAAAGGTTGTAAGAAGGCTTTCTATTGTGTGCTGTGGCCTTCCTGTAACCCCAGTGACTGGTACGGTCTCTTAGCTCACTTTGGTCAATTTAGAATTCAAAACAGAGTATCTTGCTCCAGTGTCTGCCAAGAAACCAGATGTTCCCCAACAGTGAGTATTATCTAGGGCTCTGAAGGGGTTATTCTAATGGGCTTCATTAGATCTAGTGGAGCCCCTGGGTACCCCTATTCTTCATCTGAATCTTCTCTATGTACTAACATTTGTCTCATTTCCTCTCTCCTTGTTTCCGGGTTCCTTGTACTCTGTCTATATCCTCTCCTGTACCCACTGTGTGAATCATTATGTTGTGGTGTCATCGGCCTTCTTTCCTGCCTTCCTGTCATTATTTTATCTTCTGCTTACCTGTAATCTGGGACAATGGTACTTCCAATGTCCTTCTTCCTTGCAATAATCACACTGATTTCTCCCTAGGGATTCACTTCTCCTGGGTCCTCTCCCTGTTCTGTTACCATTTCCCTGAAACCCTGTCCTGTGTTCCCTTTGTATAAAAACAGTCACAGGTTTCGGTCTCCTGTCCTCTCTGTTGTTATAAACCCTGAATGCTAAGTCCACTACCTGGGATGGACTCATCTCTGTGATGCCGTTCGCCTTTGTTAACTTTCTCCTTATGTCAGGGGCACTATGTGTAATGAATGTCATAGTGATCAGATGAGCATTTTCTGGGGCATCTGGATTTATATCTGTGTGAGTGGTATATGTCTGGATAATTCTTTCAAGGAACTTTGAGGGATCCTCATTAGCTCCCTGTTCAAGCTATAAGATTTTGTTGAATTTTTTTTTGGGATTCCCTGCTGCAGTCCTGCCAGTAAACATTTTTTATAGAGCTCTAACATCTCCATTCCCCCATTGTTGGGGTACCATTCAGGATCCACCACTGGGAAAACCATATCTGGCTCTGGGTATTCTCTATCCTGTTGGTGGAGACGGTCAGCCTCCCTGCCTTTCCTGAAAACCATTCTCTGCTTGTCCAGAGTCATCAAAGTTTGTAGCCTGGACTGTATCTGCCCAGTAAGGGCTGTGGGAGAGGAAAATAGAGGCAAACAATTTCACCATCCTCTTAGGATCCTGCAGGTATGAAGGCACAGAGCTCCTCAAATTTAGGAGGTCCATGGTGCTAAAAGGATGGTATGACCAAAAATACCCAGCAGGTTGCCCATGTTCATTCAAGCCGCCCATGGGCATATGTCGAAGAGGAAACTGTCTTGCTTCAGGGTGACTTTTCCTGCCAAAGTGGGTGCCGTGTCTAGTGTGGGGAGGAGATGCCATTTTAGTTTCTTCTATGGAGGGCAGTGGGGGTCGTGGAGCCTCAGGAGTCTGTGCAGGAGGGCCTTGTCACATGGAGAAGGATTTTTGTCCTGATGTGTTTAAGGTGTTTAACTAATGATAATCCTCTTCTAACTCTGCCCTCTTGCAGTCCTCATGGGAAGGGGAAGTTTTATCCCTTCTCTGTGCCATCAGCCAAGCCTTCCCATATGGAGGGCAGCTTCCATCTGGTCCTACATACTTTTAAAAGCTTGATCCTGCATGCTTTTAAAAGTTTGGTCCTCTATACTCTTAAAAGCTGGTTCAAAAATAGTATGGTTTTCATCCCTCATACTCTCAATAGCTAAAGTAAGAGCCTGAATTTGTTGTTGCAAATTCTCAATAGGTGAAGTGTCCTGCAGACCTAGTGCACTTATGGTGACCAATGCAAGGAAAGTTACCTTGGTCTGGTCAACCACAGGTATAACTTGGTCAACCACATTGGGCACCGAACTGTTACAGGAAAACCCTGATATGAAATGGGTTGCATGACTGTGGGTCCTCACCTGCATGTTTAAAATGGACTTATTAATGCTCGACTGTAGGCACACACAAAGGTTAATTAAATATTTATTTACAAAAGAAGGGGAAATGAAGAAGTGGATAACTCAGGGAGAAAAAGAGGAAGATAAATTTGAGAATGCATCCTACCCATTCCTCTGACCTGGAATCTCAATGACCTGCTGAGAGCCAGTGAAAAGCCAAGAGCTGTGAGGCCAAGAGAGTGACCCAAGCCCATATTGCTGGTTTTATACCCAAACAAAACATGACTGCTTAACTCCACCCTCAGGTCCCAGAAACCCTCCTTTGGTAGTGATGGGATTTGTAGTTCCCAGTATCTTGATGGCTATGGTCTGGAGTGGGGGCGGAGTCTACAAAACCTGTATGGAGTTTGCTCAGGACATCCTTTTTCCCTAACAATTGGATGTCTGTAATTCATAATTCTCAGTCTATGTTACTGTTCCTGAGGCCATGATAAGTATTGATGGTCACATGGCCAGTAGGAAAGTCAGAGATGCTGGAGTCCTCCTGGAGTAGGAGGACTAATAGAAACCAGTATGAGTTTGTCCTAGTATGAGTATGAGTATGTCCTAGTCTGTTCTAGTATGAGTAATTATGGTCACTCCTGAGGGTCAACTTCCATAGATAGGTGTGGGGGAAAGAAGTTCAGATTTGTTTTTATTTTTTTAAATTTTATGAATAATGGGTTGTATAATATAGCAGTTTGTAATTTTAAAGAGCTTCAGTTAGTGTTGAAATATGTTTAACAATTAGTATCAATAGAGTAACTCCAAAAGAATGATTCTGTTACCTCTTAACACTGAAAGGAAACTGATGAATGTGTTTATTTAAGCTAATAGAGTGTTTAAGCTCAGATCCTAATCTAAGACTTGGAATCTAGGGATACAAAAACTTTGAACCCAAGGAAGGGCTCTTCCCCTTGGGAAGATTTGCTGTGTGGTCTCACATCTTACTATGTCTTCTCTCTGTTGCTCTCCTCAGTGAAACTGCAGTGACCATCTCCCTGTCCAGGACAGAGGTTCTAGGCCACCACAACCTGCTCATCTGCTCAGTGACAGATTTCTACCCTGGCCAGGTCAAAGTTCGGTGGTTCCAGAATGACCAGGAGGAGACAGCTGGTGTAGTGTCCACCCCCCTCATTAGGAATGGGGACTGGACCTTCCAGATCCATGTGATGCTGGAAATGACCCCCCAGCTTGGAGATGTCTACACCTGCCAAGTACAGCACCCCAGCCTGCAGAGCCCCATCCTCGTGAAGTGGAGTAAGGGGCCATTTGTTAACTTTTTCCTTGGGTCTCACAAATCGGAGAGCTTACAGAGCTTCTCTGGTTCATCCATCTGATCCTTTATCCTCTATGTTACTACTGAGCTAGAAATCTAGAGACTAGATCACTTATTTTTTGGTGGGGGCATCAGAAAAATCCTAATCTTGTTTTCTTTCCAGATACTAGAGAGATCACTCTACACATCATGGCCCCAGATCCCAGCCCTGAGTGACTATTGTGGCTGGTGACTGGGGTCTTAGGGTTTAAGGTGATAGATGTGTCCCTCCCCTTCCTCATCTACCCACTATATCCAAGGATTTATTGGCTGGTCTTTCCTACCCTAGGGCTGGTCAGAAAGGAGGTCTAGGTTCCCCTGTTATCCCTACCTGCTGCATCTGGACTTCAGACTTCCCAAAGGGACACCATGTGTGGGGGACAAGTGCTAACATTCAGGCTCTGATCCCCAGGGCACAGTTTGATTATGCTCAGACCAAGATGCTGAGTGGTGTTGGGGCCTTCGTGCTGGGGCTGATCTTCCTCGAGCTGGGCCTTTTTATCCATCACAAGAACCAGAAAGGTAAATTACTCTGGGGAAGTGGGGAAGATGAACTGGGCATGATCCTTTGTTCAGGGAGGCTTCCGTCTTTAGTTGTAGTTCTTTCCTCTTGATGCTGAAAGAAAGGGGGTTGGACTGGTGATGGGAGGAGATGGAACAACTTAGGGGGAGACCTTGGAATAAGATTTTAGTGGCTGAAAGGTAGCCTGACCGCAGTTATAATAGGTGTAGTATATTCTAGGTCTTTTCTTAACTGTTCAACTTTGTCTCACTGGTTCCTTTCTGAAAGTTTCCTCCTTTAAGAGAGTCTGAGCATTGCTTCCTTTCCTTTACATGCCAGTTTCATTTATTTTTAATGATTTAACCTTCAGACAATTAAGGCCTTGTGCTTGATGAGTAGGGAGAAAATTCATTTTTAAGTGGTTTATTTCATTTCCCTTTGGAGTGAGTGAAGGGCTGGCTCTTTGTGTAATGAGTAATGAGAATTTTCTGTCTATAAATTCCTTTTGTAGGATCTCACGGGCCTTCGTCAGCAGGTACTGTTTCTGCTCTGATTTAAAGGGGATTTTGGGAACAGGTAAAAGAAGTAGGGTGTTAGGTGAGTGTGTCTGGGCACAAAGGTCTTGGCTTATAGCCTAATTCCTGCTCCAGCATTAACAGTTAGGAGAGAATTTGCCCAGTTCCTGAAGGACACTCCTAAGGTTGTTCCTCAGAGCCAGGCTATGATGTTGGTAGCATCTTTCTGTGAAACTTGCAGTCAGAGCCATATCTTGAGTGTCAGACACCAGAATGATACCCTCTATCTTGAGCCCTATGTTGGTGGCTACTCCTGTGTGAATTTATAGTAAATTTGCACTAGGGATGGAAAGAAGGTTAGTTATTACATTTACTAGAACCTTCGAAACCTTTGTTTTGTGGAGGGGCTAACAGCTGCTTCCCAACCTCACACACATCTATGCGGGACTGAAGTGCTGTGTCTTATTTGGCTGATTTCTCCTCTACACAGATATTAGTGGCTGTGATGACATTAAGCCCTACCTCAGCTTTCTCTGATGCTGCGGTGGCCACAAGGGAAGGTGAGAGGGCATGTCCTGCTGGGTCCCCTGAGCTGATCATTGTCTCTCTCTTACAGGGCTCTTGCACTGACTCCTAAGGACACTTTGATCGGGATTGATTTTTGCTCTTCTGTAATGCCTGCCTGTCCTTACCCAGAATTCTCAGATGCATTTTAGTCTGTCCCTCTGAGATGAGAATCCTATGTGACTCTGACTCAGTCACCATGTCACCTCCTGTGACCCCTACCCCAAGGATATGGCTGTGATGTTGCTTTTAGCACTGACCAGGGAGCCTGTCTGAGTGCGGCCAGCAGCGTCTCCTCAGTCGCAAGGAGTTTTTCAGTTTCCAATTCCCCTCAAAGAGAGTACATTGAATCCATTAATGTGCTATAGAGCTTTATGATAATTAAACATGGTTATATGTTATCTGTCTGTTGTCTTCTTTTTTTACTAAGTTCATGCTAATCATAGAATTAAAAAATTGAGACATAATTGACATATACCTTTCAGGTTGCTGGGATATAACTCAGGTGTAATCTGAAGCTGACTCATACACAGAGTGTAAGGACAGTTTGAAGGAAAGATATTTCAATATTGGTTGGTGGCATTTCTTTTTGTTTTTATTTTTTTATTTTTTATATATTTCTTACAATTTCGTTTTTGCACAATGTATGCATTTTCATCTTGGTTATATTCCCCATAAAATTGTACCCCCCTTATTTTGACCTTAATCCCCCCTCTCTCCACCCCTTCCCCCCTGCAGTGTGTCTCTGGTTTATAGTTGCTTGTTGATTTTGACTTTCTCTTTATTATAGTTATTCTTTATCCTGGTCCCTTATTTAGGTTTTCTAAACTCCTGCTATGAGTGAGACCATCCTTATGAGACCATCTGGTATTTTTCCTTTTCTTTCTGGCTTATTTCGCTGAGCAAGATCCCTTCCAGCTCCATCCATGTTGCTACAAATTGCATAAGTTTATCTTTTTGATTGCTGTGTAATATTTCATTGTGTATATATACCACATCTTCTTGATCCAGTCATTTATTTTTGGGCATTTGGGTTATTTCCAAAGCTTAGCTATTGTAAATAGTGCTGCTGTAAACATAGGGGTGCAGGTGCCCTTTTGAATTAATGTTTCTGTGTCATTTGGGTAAATACCTAGGAGTGGAATTGATGGATCATATGGAAGCTCTATCTTTAGTAGGTTGAGGAATCGCCACACAGCTTTCCATAGTTGTTGGACCAGTTTGCACTCCCACCATCAGTGAAGGAGAGTTCCTTTTTCTCCACAACCTCGCCAACATTTGTTGTTGCTAGTTTTTTAAATATGTGCCATTCTCACTGGTGTGAGATGGTATCTCATTGTAGTTTTGATTTGCATTTCCCTGATTGCAAGTGAAGTTGAACATTTTTTCATATGCCTGTTGACCATTGCATTTCCTCTTTGGAGAAGTTTCTTTTCAGTTCTTCTGCCTATTTTTTGACTGGATTAATTTCTTTTTTTTTTGTTTAGTCTCATCAGCTCTTTGTAGATTTTTGTCATCAGTCCTTTATCATTAGAGTTCTGTGCAAAAATTTTCTCCCAGTCGGTGGGGCTTCTCTGCATTTTAGTTATTGTCTCTTTTGCTGTGCAGATGCTATTTAATTTGATGTAGTCCCAACTGTTTATCTTTGCCTTCACTATCACTGCTTTGGGTGATGTGTCTGTAAAGCTGTCTTTGAGGTGCATGTCATGTAGTGTTTCCTCTATATTTCCTTCTATATATTTTATGGTTTTAGGTCTTATGTCCAGTTCTTTAATCTATTTTGAGTTGTTTTTTGTGCATGATGTGAAGTAGTAGTCAAGTTTCATTCTTTTCCATGTAGCGACCCAGTTTTCCCAGCACCATTTGTTGAGCAAACTTTCTTTGCTGTAGTGCATATTCTTTGCTCCTTTGTTAAATATTAGTTGACCATAAATCTGTGGGTTTATTTCTGGGTTTTCTATTCAGTTCCTTTGGTCTGTGTGTCTGTTCTTGTTCCAATACCATGCAGTTTTGGTTATTATTATAGTTTTGTAGTATAGTTTGAAATCTGGGAGAGTTATGCCTCCATTCCCTTCTTTTTGTATCAGGAGGGTTTTGGCTATTTGGGGTTTTTGGCGGCTCTATATGAATTTCATCAATATTTGTTCTATTTCTTTGAAGAATGACATTGAAATTTTTATTGGAATAGCATTGAATTTGTAGATTGCTTTTGGTAGGATGGCCATTTTGTTAATGTTAATTCTTCTGATCCATGAGCAGGGGTGTCTTTCCATTTCTCTGTGTCTACTTCTATTTCTTTTAACAGTGTTTTATAGTTTTCTTTGTATAGGTCCTTTACTTCTTTTGTTAGGTTTATTCCCAAGTATTTGATTTTTTTTTGTTTCAATCATAAAAGGAATGGTTTTCTTGATTCCTTCTTCATATTTATTGTTTGCGTATAGGAAGGCTGCTGATTTTTGTGTGTTCATTTTTTATCCTGCCACTTTAGTAAACTGATTGATTAGTTGAATTAGTTTTTCTGTGGAGTTTTTGGGATTCTCTATGTATATAATCATATCATCTGCGAATAGTGATAGTTTGACTTCTCCCTTGCCTATTTGGATTCCTTGTATGTCTTTCTCTTGTCTTATTACTCTGGCTAGGACTTCCAGTATTATAGTGAAAAGCAGTGGTGAGTGTGGACGTCCTTGTCTTGTTCCAGATCTTAATGGAAATGCTTTCAGCTTTTCACCATTGAGAATGCTATTGGCTATGGGTTTGTCATATATGGCCTTTATGATGTTGAGGTATGTTCCTTGCATCCCGAGAATTTTGGGGGCCTTTATCATAAATGTGTGTTGTACTTTGTCAAAAGCTTTCTCAGCATCTATTGATATTATCATATGGTTTTTATATTTCTTTTTGTTGATGTGTTGGATTACATTGATTTATTTTCTGATGTTGAGCCATCTTTGTGTCCCTGGAATAAATCCTACTTGGTCATGGTGAATTATCTTATGGATACATTGTTGGATTCTGATAGCTAAAATTTTATTGAGGATTTTTGTATCCATGTTCATTAGAGAGATTTGCCTGGATTTTTCTTTTTTTGTGTTGTCCTTGTTTTGTTTTGGTATAAGTGTAATGTTGACTTCATAGAGTGTTTGGTATTATCTCTTCCTTCTCAATATTTTGAAAGAGTTTGTGAAGGATAGGCACTAATTCATTTCTGAATGTTTGGTAGAATTCATTGGTAAATCCATCTGGTCCTTGGATTTTGTTTTTGGAAGGGTTTTGATTACCATTTAAATTTCGCTGCTTGTAATTGTTCTGTTTAGGTGTTCTATGTCTTCTTTATCTAGCTTTGGGTGATTATAGAATTGTAGGAATTTGTCCATCTCTTCTAGATTGTTGAGCTTGTTTGATTATTCTTTTGATTTCTGCTGTGTCTGTTGTGATTTCTCCTCTTTCATTTGTGATCCTATTTATTTGTGCTTTCTCCCATTTTTCCTTTGTGAGCCTCGTTAGGGTTTGTCTATTTTATTTATTTTTTTGAAGAACCACCTTTTGGTTTCATTGGTCTTTTGGATTGTATTTTTAGTTTCAATTTCATTTATTTCTGCTTTGATTTTTATTATTTCTTCTACTGGTTTTGGGGTTTTGTTGTGCTTTTTCTAGTTCTTTGAGCTTAGGTTGTTTCTTTGAGTTCTTTCTTGTTTCTTGATGTGAGTCTATATTGCTGTATATTTTCCTCTTATTACTGCTTTTGCTGCATCCCATACATTTAGGAAATTGGTGTCCTCCTTGTCATTCAGTTCAAAGAATTTTTTAATTTCTTCTTTGATCTCCTTGTTAGTCCAGTGGTCTTCCAGTAGTGTGGTTTTCAATCTCCATGAGGTAGGAGAGTTCCTTGCCTTCTTTTTATGGTTTATTTCTAGTTTGATGCCTTCGTGGTCAGAAAAGATGGTTGGTATGATTTCAATCTTGGTGTATCTGTTGATGTTTGTCTTGTGTCCCAGGATGTGATTGATCCTGGAGAATGATCCATGTGCACTTGTGAAAAATGTGTACTCAGATTTTTTTGGGTTTAGTGTTCTATAGATTTCTGTTAAGCCCATGAGCTCTAGTTCCTTATTTAGAGTTTTAGTGTCCTTACTCATTTTTTGTCTTGTTGATCTATCCATTGGTGATAGTGGTGTGTTGAAGTCTCCTACTACATATATGTTTTCAGCGATGATAATAATTGTCTGATATATTTTGGTGCTCCTTCATTTGGTGAGTATGTGTTAATGAGTGTTATTTCTTCTTGAAGTATTTTCCCCTTGATCATAATGTAGTGACCATCTGAGTTTGAAGTCTATTTTATCTGATATAAGTATGGCTGTTCCTGCCTTCTTTTTTGGTCCATTTGCTTGTAGGATTGTTTTCCATCCCTTTACTTTCACTCTATTTTTATCTTTTGTAGTTAAGTAAGTTTCCTGGAGACAGAAAAGGTTGGGTTTTATTTCTTCATCCAGCCTGTGACTGTGTGTCTTTTTATTGAAGAGTTTAGTCAGTTTACATTTAGGGTTAATATTGATATGTTAGTGCCCATATGCCATTTTGTTTGACTTTTCTCAGGTTTTATTTACTCATTTTTTTAGTAATAATTTTTTTTTCTTTTGATCTTGTTTCATTCTTATTCATCCCTCTGTTGGTTCTGACTTAGGATTCCTTGTAGTATTTTTTGTAGTGGGGGTATAGTCGTAATGAAATTCCAGAGTTCCTGTTTGTCTGAGAAGGTCTTTATTCTTTTTTCACAGAGGAAGGAGAGCTTTGCAGGATAGCGTATTCTTGGTTGGCATTTGTTCTCATGGAGTCTGTTGACTATGTCCCTCCGCTCTTTCCTTGCCCATAGTGTTTCTTCAGGGAAGTCTGATGTCAGCCTGATTGGTTTTCCTTTGTATATTATCTGTTTCTTTCCTCTTGCTATCTTCATTATTTTTTCCTTGTCTTGGATTCTTGGGAGCTTTACTATTATGCGTCTTGCTGTATTTTTCTTTTCGTCATGGAAATTTAGTGTTATTCTTGCTTCTTGTACATCTATTTTCAGCTCCTTCTTCATGTTTGGGAAGTTCTCTTTAATTATTTCCTTGAATATTTTCTCTGTTCCTATGTCTCTCTCCTCTCCTTCTGGGATTCCTATAACTCTTGGATTTCCTTTCCTCATGGAGTCAGATAGTTCCCAATCTTTTTCATTCATGCTTCACTCTCCTTTTCTGTTTTGGTTCATTTTATTTCTGTGTCCTCAAGTGTACTTATTTGTTCTTCCATTTCATTTATTCTGTTATCACTGCTTTTCCCAGAGTTCTTTAGCTCTTCCATTAATCCTTTGATCTCCTGCATTTCCTTCACTTCCCTCTTTATGGACTCAATTTCATTCTTCTGATTGTTGTTTTCCTTAATGATTTTTGTCGGTTTTTTAATTACAGCAATTTTAAATTCTATTTCTGGAAGGCTCAGAAGTTCTTCTAAGTCACTATTGTTGCAATCTGGTGGTTTTCTTTTTGTGGTGTGTCTTTTTCCTGAGGGCTTTCTACATTGCATGTAGTTTTTCTTCTTCCTGCTGCTTGTTTTCTAATTTGCCCTATGCATTGGGACACTGTGTCACTGGTACAGATTGGCATCTTTTTGGTGTGCTCTTTCTGGGATTTTGGAAACTGGTGGTCCTATTGATTCAAATACTTTTATGCCAGAAGTCCAGTGAGGCAGTTGTACTTTGAGTATGTTAATGGTCACTGTCATAGAATATCTCCTCCTTCTGTGTTTGTTTAATTCCAAAGGTGTGTCTTGAAGTCCCTGGAGGTTGGGTGGCTGGATTGCACTCTGGGCTCCAAATTGCTGGATCCCCTTCTGGCTGTAGCTCCCTGCCAGGTGGGACCTGGCTTGTGGGGGCCTGCAGCTCACCTCTGGCTTGGGGTGCAACCCTCTCCCATTTCCAAGCAGTCTTTATTGAAGGAAGGTCCCTATTCTAAAATGGTTACTCAGAGATGGACTTTCCTGTGCCTGTGGTCTACCCTGGCCTTGGTGCCCACTCCCACTCTGGGCTCGGACTGCTGGCCAGACAGGGCCTGGCATGGGGGTGCCTCCTAGCTCACCTCTAGCTGTGTGGGGAGCCTTCTCCCAGTTTCAAGCAGTGTTTATTGAAGGAAGGTTCCTATCCTAAATGGCAAGTTGGAGATGCACTTTCTTGCACATGCTGTCTGGTTCGTGGCATTTTTAATCACTGGGAGAATTTACTTAGAGGCTTTTTCTTGGGAAGCTGTAAGATAAGAGCGTTTTCTGCCCTTGTCTCCCAAAATTTTAATGAGGCTATAAACATTTTTTTTAAGAGTTATTTATGCATACAAGAACTGGGGTACAGGCCAGAGGTGTGGAGGGTGCAGGATTCACCAGAGGCAGAGAGGGAACAGAATAGGCGGATCTACTGAAATCCACTGCTAAGGGGTGCAGCAGGCGAGACGGGGGATTGAACTTGTGCTGTAGTAGTTACGGACAGCTTCATAATGCTGATGCTTAACCCCTTGTGCCACTAGGGAGGTCCATGGCTATAAATGGGACTAATCACATGCACTCTTCAGATAGTCTTAGCAACAAATTTTATCTCAAGGATATGTCCTTGAGCAGCTTCTGGCAGCAGGGAAGAAGGCAAGTGGAATGCACTTTCTCTGGTAGGTGGTTGTGGTGTGGAGACTCTTAATTACCTGGCTCTATCTTATAGGCCAACAGTCAATCACATTAATTTGATTACCTTCCCGAACATTCCATTCCTCATGGCCCTTATAATTTCACATATCCCTTTTCTGCAATGTGCTCTGAACTATCAGCAAGGAGTTTTATCAGCTAATTTGGTAGCTTTTGGGTTGCATTGGAAACAGATGCCACAGCAGCAAATCAGGCACCTGTAAGAGGAAACACAGATTAAAATAGTGATTCCCAAAATCTTTGACAACTTTTCCTTCTCAGAGCCACAAGACTCAAACCCTTGATTTATTAAGTCCTGTGGGCTGGAGTCAGATCACGCAGGGTCACACTTGTGTTCTTATGTGATTTCATACATACATTAGTAGATTCATCATGTATAAACAAAACATTTTGCTTGTGCTTTAAAGGCTGAATGGCATTAAGAAGAATGAAAAATCTTTATTTGGGTTTTTCAGTTGGCACCAGGGACAGCAAAGGGAAGAAACTTTCATCTGGAACTAAGGAGATGGAGCTGAAATCCAGGAAAGGAAAATTGGAGCCACTTCCTGGAAATGCAGGAATGAGAGTTGGCTAGGGGATTGGAGGGTAAATGGAAGTGATCAGCTTTTTTTTTTTTGCCCTCCCGCCATTAGCATCTGTGCTTGACACCTGTTGTCTTACACTCGTGCCTGATGGCAGCCCTGGGAGTGTGGTGTGGGTGAGCATAGGTGGGTGCACCTGAGCGGAGACTGAACCTATAAGGGCTGTGGCAGGGGAAGGGGCAGAGGACAATGGATCGAGAGACCAGCGAAGAGAGCATAAGAAAATACCTGAGAGTCCAGAAAGAGTGAAGATGTATTGGGGGATAGGAGGCCTGCCAGCCTCCCGGCCCCGGACCTTCCTGCCTGGCCTGCACCATGACAAATGGTGCAAAAAGATTATTAAAAGCCCAAAAAGCCACTGAGGGCTCCAGGAGTCCTTTACCCATCTGCCTGGATCATAGAAAACCTGCTCTGTGCCCTGCTGGCACTACAGTGATGGACAGCCAGACTGGGAATCGGACTTACTCTGCTAAACTCTGCAGCCATATCAGCCTGGGACCAGAGTCTGGGTACCCATCAGCCCTTCACAGCTAAAAGCCTGTCTCTGTGACCTGGCCCATGACAGGACAAACCTGGGTTTTGCTCAGCCCTTGGAGGACTCAGCTTCCTCGTCTAGAGTGGATGATGGAAGAATGTCTGCAGGGGAGGTGTTGGAGAAAGTGATCAAGAGGATGCAATGGCTGGATGATCAAGACAATTGGAGGCTCCTCACCCACTGACCTTGGAATGTGTATCCAGCGACTTTTTTGCTCCCAGAAGCTGCTCTAAGGACATAGCCTTGAAGTAGTATTGTGGTAATGAGACTACGTGGGTAGTACATGTGACTGAACCCAGTTTTGGCCTTTGTATTCTATGGTTTGGTAGGTGCAGAAAACTACTTGGTCTTGCCACTTAACAATCTGGAGTGGCTTACTGACTTTCTGGTCTCTCCTTGCATTCTGTGTACAGGGGCAGCTGCACATAACACTTAGGAAGCTGCAAGTCCAATTTCAGTTCCTATTTTTCAACTCTAAAATTCATTTCAATACATGGTGTAATGTAAAAGAATAATTCTCCATAACCTCTCTTCTGTAGTATTAAATTCTCATGACAGAAAGACCATTTTTGTGATCATTTTACTCACCTGCTTCAGAAAGTAAAAATAGTGTTTTTTGGTACTTTAGCATATTCTCAAGAAAATATTCCTTAGATTAGTATTGCATTAAAATATTGCGCATTTAAGAAAATTCCTATTCAGACTTAGTCTTTAATGTAGTATACCAGTCTATCACCTTCATGGGAAGTTTATACATATATTCTTTCATCAGTTCCTAATGTAATATTGTTGCAATTGTAAACAGGATCTTATAATGTAACTAATACTATTTTCTTATAATACTTTAAACCAATTGTGCATAATGTCCTTTTTAACTCTTTTATTTTTTTAATTTAAAATTTTCTTACATCATTGTTCATATTTAAACAATATTTGCTTCCCCCACCACCTCAGGTGTAGTCCCCATAGAATTTTCTTCCCCAATGTACCCGTGCACCATCACCACAGTCCCCTGTGCTCCTCCCTCCCTGCCTCTCATCCCTCCCCCTCCTCCTCCCCTGCAGAATGTCTCTGATTTATAATTGTCTGTTTTTGTTTTGTTGTGTTTTGTACTGTTATTATTTTTTTTTCACTGATGTCTTATTTGGTTCCCCTATATTCTTGCTATAGGTGAAACCATCTAATATTTCTCTTTTCCTTCTGGCTTATTTCACTGAGCATAATTCCTTCTAGCTCCATCCACGTTGCTGTGAATGGCATGAGTTTATCTTTTTTGATTGCTGAATAATATTCCATTGAGAATATATACCACATCTTCTTGATCCAGTCATCTATTTTTGGGCATTTGGGTTGTTTCCAGGTTTTACCTATTGTAAATACTGATGCAATAAACATAGGTGTACAGGTGCTCTTTTGAATCACTGTTTTGTGTCCTTTGGGTATATCCCTAGTAGGGAATTACTGGGTCATATGGTAGCTCCATTTTCAGTAGAAAGAGGAACCTCCGGAAAGCTTTCCACAGTGGTTGGACCAGTTTACACTCCCACCAGCAATGTAGGAGAGTTCCTTTTTCACCACATCCTCGCCAGCATTTGTTGTTGCTTGTTTTTTTGATATGTGCCATTCTTACTGGTGTAAGGTGGTATCTCAGTGTGGTCTTGATTTGCATTTCCCTGATGATAAGGGATGTTGAACATTTTTTCATATGCCTGTTGGCCATTTGCATTTCCTCTTTGGAGAAATGTCTTTTAAGTTCTTCTGCCCATTTCTTGACTGGATTGTTTATTTTGTTTTTGTTGAGCTGTGTGAGCTCTTTGTATATCTTTGTGATCATCAGTTGAGTGGAGTGCAAAGATTTTGTTGATGTGTTGCATTACACTAATCGATTTTTTTTTTTTTTTTAAAGGGGCATGTATTTTTATTTATTTATTTATTTGTTTGTTTGTTTGTTTGTACATGCACTGGGTACAGTCAGAAGCGCGGGAGGGTGAGAGAATTCACCAGAGCCAGAGCGGGGAGCAGAGCAGGCAGAAGGACCTAAGTACACTGCTGAGGGGAGCAGCGGGCGGCAGGAGAGGTCTGCGCGCCATGTGGGACTCTCCTCCTGTGGCCGGGGAGCAGCCGGGGATCGAACCGGCGCCACAGAGGCCGCTGGCAGCTTCGCAACCCAGTGCTCAATCGCTGCGCCACCGGGGAGGCCCCACTAATCGATTTTTGTATGTTGAACCATCCTTGTGCCTGGGATGAATCCCACTTGATTGTGGTGTTCTATCCCTTTGATGCATTGTTGGATTTTGTAGGCAAGGATTTTGCTGAGGATTTTTGCATCAGTGTTCATTAGGGAGATTGGCCTGTAATTTTCTTTTTTTGTGCTGTCTTTGTTGGATTTTGGTATTAGTGTAATATTGGCTTTGTAGAACGTATTTGGTAGTATTCCTTCTTTTTCAATTTTTGAAAGAGTTTGTGTAGGATAGGCACCAATTCACTGCTGAACGTTTGGTAGAATTCATTTGTGAAGCCGTCTGGGCCTGGGCTTTTGTTTTTGGGGAGTGCTTTGATTACTGCCTCAATTTTGCTGCTTGTAATTTGTCTGTTTATTTCTTCTATTTCTTCTTTGTCCAGCTTTGGATGATTATATCGTTCTAGGAAATTATCCATCTCTTCTAGATTGTTGAATTTGTTTGCATATAAGTGTTCAAAGACATCTCTGATTATTCTTTTGATTTCTACTCAATCTGTTGTGATTTCTCCTCTTTCATTTGTAATCCTATTTATATGTGTTTTCTCCCGTTTTTTTCTTTGTGAGCCTTGCTAGATGTTTGTCTGTTTTGTTTATTTTTTCAAAGAACCAACTTTTGGTTTCATTGATCTTTTGGATTGTGTTTTTAATTTCAATTCATTTCTGCTTTGATTTTTATTATTTCCTTTCTTCTACTGGCTTTAGGTTTTTTTGTGTTGTAGTTGTTTGTTCTTTTTCTAGCTCTTTGAGATGTGAGATTAGGTTGTTTCTTTGAGTTCTTTCTTGTTTGTTGATGTGAGCCTTTATTGCTATATATTTTCCTCTTATTACTGCTTTTGCCGCATCCCATGCATTCTGGAAAGTGGTGTCCTTCTTGTCATTCAACTGAAAGTATTTTTAATTTCTTCTTTGATCTCCTCATTAGTCCAGTGGCCTTGCAGTAGTGTGGGTTTCAATCTCTATGAAGTGAGAGGGTTCCTTGTTTTCTTTTCATGATTTATTTCTAGCTTGATGCCTTTATGATTGGAGAAAATAGTTGGAATGGTTTTGATTTTCATTTATCTGTTGATGTTTTTCTTGTGGCCCAGTATGTGATCGATTCTAGAGAATGATCCATGTGCCCTTGAGAAAAATGTGAACTCAGATTTTGGGTGCAGTGTCCTATAGATGTCTGTTAAGTCCATGAGTTCTATGTCTTTATTTAGGGCTCTAGTGTCTTTGTTTCTTTTTTGCCTCGTTGATCTGTCCATTGGTGAGAGTGGGGTGTTGAAGACTCCCACTATATATGTATTTTCTTTAGTATCTGTTTTCAGAGCTGGTAATAATTGCCTAATATATTTTGGTGCCCCTTCATTTGGTGAGTATATGCTGATGAGTGTTATATCTTCCTGATGTATCATTCCCTTGATTATAATGTAGTGTCCATCTATGTCTCTTTTACTTTTCTTAATTTGAAGTCTATTTCATCTGATATAAGTATGGCTGTTCCTGCCTTCTTTTTTGGTCCATTTGCTTGTAGGATTGTTTTCCAATCTTTTACTTTCAGTCTGTGTTTATCTTTTGTGGTTAAATGTGTTTCCTAGAGACAGCAGAAGGTTGGGTTTTGTTTTTTAATCCAGCCTGCTACCCTGTGTCTTTTTATTGATGAGTTTAATCCATTTACATTTAGAGTTAATATTGATATATTGGCATCTGTGTTTGCCATTTTGTTTGTCTTTTTTGTGATTTTATTCCTTGCTTTATTCTGTTCTTCTTTTTCATTCCTCTGTTTTTTTTTTTTTTTTTTTTTTTTTGGCTTTAGGACTTCTTGTAGAATTTTTTGGAGTGGGGGTTTAGTTGTAATGAATTTCTGGAGTTTCTTTTGTCTGAGAAGGCCCATATTTTTTCTTTGTAGAGGAAGGAGAGCTTTGCAGGGTAAAGTATTCTTGGTTGGCATTTGCTGTCTTGAAGTTTGCTGAATATGTTACTCCATTCTCTTCTTGCCCATAGTGATTCTTCGGAGAAGTCAGAAGTTAACCTGATTGGTTTTCCCTTATAATTTATCTGTTTCTTCCCCCTTGCCGGTTTCATTATTTTTTTCTTGTCTTGGACTCTTGCAAGCTTAACTATTAGGTGACTTGCCATAGTTTTTAATTAATTAATTTATTTATCTATCTATTTATTTATTTATTTATTTACTTACTTGCACAAGCACTGGGTACGGTCAGAAGCGAGGGAAGGCGAGAGAATTCACCAGAGCCAGAGCGGGGAACAGAACAGGCAGGGTGATGAAATACACTGCTGAGGGGAGCAGCGGGCGGCTGGCAAGGTCTGCGCGCAATGTGGGACCCTTGCCTGGTGACCGGGGATCGAACTGGTGCTGCGGAGGCTGCGGGCAGCTTTGCAACCCAGGGCTGAACCGTTGCGCCACCGGGGAGGCCAGTTTTCTTTTCATTATGGTAATTGGGGGTTCTTCTCGCTTCTTGTATGTCTATATTCATCTTGTTTTTTGTTCTTGGGAAGTTTTCTTCAATTATGTCCCGGAATAATTTCTCAATTCCTTTGTCTCTCTCCTCACCTTCTGGAATGCCTATAACTCTTATATTTATTCTCTTCATGGAGTCTGATAATTGTCTAAGAGGCTCCTCATACTGCTTCATTTGCACTTCTCTCTCCTTTTCTATCTCTCTCTTTTTTTTTTTAAGATTTATTTATTTATTCATGCAAGCACTGGGTACAGTCAGAAGCGCGGGAAGGTGAGAGAATTCGCCAGAGCCAGAGCGGGGAACAGAACAGGCAGGCCGAAGAAGTACACTGCTGAGGGGAGCAGCGGGTAGCAGGAGAGGTCTGCACACGGCCATGTGGGACCCTCGCCAGGTGGTCGGGGATTGAACCAGCGCTTCAGAGGCTGCGCCACCAGGGAGGCCCTCTCTCCTTTTCTCTTTTGGCTCTTTATAGTTCTGTATCTTTGATAGTACTGATCTGTTCTTCCATTCATTGATTCTGTTTTCATTGCTTTCTCAGATTTCTTTATCTCCTCTAGTAATCTTTTTATCTCCTGCGTTTCTTTTCTTTCCTTTCTTATGGTCTCAATCTCATTCTTCAGTTCAGTGATTATTTGTCTCAAATCATTTTTTCCTTTTCATTTTCTTTCTGCTTTTTAA